TGTCATACTTCTTGTATTATAAGGTGAAACTTTCTTAAAGCCAGTGTGTATTTTTTAATGATTTCAAGTAAAAAAAATTTAATTCATGCACATACATAGTAATTAACACGGCATAAACAGGAATGCCAAGAAAACTAAAGTGGAATTATTTTTTATTCTATTTGACACATATAAAATTAGAAACAAATTTACCAGGGGGAAGATGCACATATGGCTGTTGTTATTGTTTTTTACTTCTTGACCAAAGTATTTAAAAGTTGGTAAAAGTTTCCATGCTATTTACAAATGAAAGGGAAAGAAATGGAAATATTATTACCTTTACACTTAGGAGGGTCACTACTCCATTTGTCATGCCCAGTACAAACAAGCTTGGGCTCCCCAACCAGTGAAAATTCATCTTTTCCACTGGAAGGATTACAAGTATAAATAACTACTTCATGGTATTCAAATACATCCTGATGGCTATTGGAGTATTGTCCATTTGGTATTTTTTTAGGTGGTTTACACAAAATCCCTTAAAAAGAGAAAAAAGAGGGCAGGGAAGACAAGAGGAAAAGTAAAAGATTAAGAGAGCATTAGTAACATCCTATGAACTGCCTTCAGTAAATTCATTAACATAGGATATCTACAATCTAGTTGTAAATCCAATATCCCTTTGAAACAAAGTTTCTAAGAAGAACTGTATTTTCTCAATTCAAACCATGATTAGAGAAATGAAATTTTAGAATAAAACTCATTTTATTCTAAAAACCCATAGAAGATACCTATATGAAATACTTGTATTTATCTGTAAGGCCATGCTAAGTTTTTTCTAATCACAGGAGATGCTGACAATTTAATGAAAAAATATACTTATGATTTAGGAAAACTCAGTGCTAGCTGAGAAATGCTACATCCATTCCTGAATCAAAGTTCACAGGCATATCAAGATTTTATTATTTTTTCACTGTCATCCTTAAGAGTGTACAGTGAAACCTTCCGATTGCTTTAGACTGTTTGACAATGCAGCAGAATGGATCTGGAGGTCTTCCTGTAGGCCAGATACTGAAGAGGTGAGAAAAAATGTAAAGATATGACACTTCTCACAGTTTTGGAAGTTTTTGATCTTGCAAAAAAAAAAAGTCACATTTTTTAACATGTATTGAGCTTATTGTTTTAAAAAATGAGTTAACAAATAATTACTTTAAAGCTTCTCTGTTTTAATGCCAATATAAAGGATATCAATAGCACTAGCCTACCTGCAGAAAATCTCTGTGGGGTCTTTGTTAATTATAAAGCATAAATGGGACCCCAGGCCAAAAGTTTGAGAACTGCTGCTCTGAATTCTAAACAGAGAATATACTTACTTAAACAACGTGGGGGTTGATCACTCCATTGTACATCATCTCCATAAAGTAGACAACATAAAACTTTTGGTCCAAGTAAGTAAAAACTAAATGAGAAAAGAAATGACTATTGTTTTCTTTACCAGTTAAGAAGAATATATAATAATGAAATTTCTATATGGTTGATTTTCTGCATTACAATAGCTTCAGGGAGAAGTTTCTTAAGTGGCATGTATTCAATGTGTTAACTAAATCTGCAATTTAATGAAATAAAGAGATTCTTCATGTGAAGACACATTGGCCTAGGGCAAAGTGCCTAAATAAACCTGTCATGCCTGACAGTCTGGGGGTCACTACCTCTGCCAGTCAGATAACACATTCACTTCGATGTCCGTCTCACGCCATTCTGCTCAATCAGGACAACGACTCAGTAGAGAGACCTGGCCCAAGAGCTTACCTGACTGGATTCGAGTCCCAGCTCCAAGATGGACTTGTTTTTTGAGCTTGGGCAAGGCCCTTAATGTTTCTCTTTCTTAAATTCCTCACCTGCGGAAAGGGTCTATATGTCCTGGGGTTCTTCTGAGTACTAGGTGAATTCGCATCTGGAACACAGTGAGTGCTAGGCAAGTTTTTGGTGTTATGAATATTCTTCAGGTGGCAGTGTCTTCCTGGT